TTATTGTATGAAAATGGGCCAGATGTCCCATTTTTATTGGAAAAGTGTTTTTTTTTCTTTAAAAAAATAAAAAAGATATTACAATTGTATTTTTTTCATTATCTACAAATAAAGAATGTGATATATTTTAGAATAAAATTATAATTTTTAAATAAATTAAATTAAAATAAATATTTAAATGAAATTGGGTTGGGATAAAAAAATTAATTAGGTTGTAAGATTGAGTTTTGCATGTGGAGGAGAGATAATTTATTTTTTTTTGTACAGCGACCTTCCAGTTTCTGGATCCACGGGAAAACTGACTAATCCGGAATCGAGCCGGGTAGGACCACAAGGGCGGCAAAGCTCTCCATCAAGATAAATTATTTTAATTATTAGGTTAGATTGAGTTGAGTTGAGGATAAAGATGTCTAATTATTTATAGTTCTTTTTTGGTTTCCTTTTTTTATAAACTTCTTTTTTTTTTTATATATATATCAAAAAACGATGATATCGCTAAAAGAAATTTAAGTTTTATAGCTCTATTTATCCATTTATCGTTCGAGTGTGGAGACATCTCTTGCCCTTTACCATCTACAAACTATGGCGAGGCTTTTGACGGAGACTTCAACGACAATAACGATGGTCCTTTTCTTCGGACCGACGCGACTATACCGCGTTTTTAGGGTACACGGTAAGCGACAATTTATGACTTTTTTTTATTTGTTTTTCACGTTTGGTGGGATTTGACACTCTTTAGGGAGGGATAGAAGATTATAACCTTATACAGTACACACGATTTAACAATTACTTGTCATCATTCACACAAAAAAAACAGTTTCTATGAACATGGGTGTGGAGTTGTTGATTTATTGCACAGTAATTTTAAGTTCGTACACAAGCCCACGTCCGTGGGACAGGTTTCAATCATTTCAATTTTTTTGATGATACAGTCACAAAACAGGCCTCACTGATCATTACAAAACTGCATTGTCTTCGTCGCACCTCAATTTCATATCAGTTTTTCTAAACAATCATCGGCCGTCTTCCTCCTCTGTCCCAAACACAGTAACAAAAATGCAAACCAAGGTGTGTTGTTTGTAGGACCTTACAAATTTCCGGTGCACTCATAATTTCTCTGCAGACATTCACATTTTGACATTTCGTAATTTTGGATTACAATGAAGAAAACAATTCCAATTGCTCAAATCGAAGAGAAAGTTCGGGGCTGGACGGCGTTGGTCCAGGTTCTCGACAGGAGTCACATTTTAGTGAGCGAGGAAAATCCAACCATCTCATGTCGTCGTTTCGTATTTGTCGATTTGGATGTAAGGGGCAAATTAATTTATGTGGTTTTGGGCTTCATTTGTTGTGCAGTTGATGGGGAAATGTCTTTAGAAGAGCATACTTACACTTTTAGTGAAGGAATACACCAACATGTTCATGTGCAAGAAAAAATAATATAATTTCGGAAACAATCATGTAGCACCTTGTTACTGTAATCCCCTCCATCTGCTCAACTTTTACCTATTAAACTCTGGAATATTAAAATTTATTGCAAACTTTGTAAATATAATAAAAGTTTCGAATTAAGAAAAAAATATTGGTCGGCAGTTGATCAAGATAACTTCAAAAATATATTTTGTTCTCTTTAAGCTTTCACTGTTAGTAAGCTTCTCAATTCTTTCATCTGATTTGAAATAGAATGTTTTTTATTGGCTGTAATTTTTATATCTTAATGGTACAGATGACAAGTCACACTTCATCTGAGAAGCATATGTAGTATATACTTTATTAATGCTCGTGGTTCTGTTTAAGTCGTTCATACTTGTGGTTCACTTTAAGTGCATTGACCAGGGAAACCTTTTAAGGTTTGTGGGATATTTCAATCACTAATGTGTTTGAACTGTTGTCTTAATGTGCTCTTTGGCTTCATTTATTGTGCGTTTTGCATTCTTTTGGAATTAATGTTATTTATGCAGGGCACAAGAGTATCAACAGTCGCATACAATGAAAATATACCGCCATCTTCAACGCATCTAATCCCGTTGAAGAAATACTATGTGTCTGGGGCTACACTAAAAAAGGCAACTGAAAGCGACAAGATTGGGCCTTATCACTTCACATGGACCATCAATCATAACACTTTCATTGAGCCCTATGAGGACGGGCTGGTGGAGGAAATGTTCTGGCCTATAGAGTACCAAAAATTTGGTAATCTACAACGATTTATAGACACTGAAGATTTACAGAGTACGTCATCTTGCGTAATTGAAATGAATATTTTGTTCAATAATTTTTAATATTCACTCATCCTGTTTGGGTAACCAGTGTTGTCGGTATTCCAGTTGACATTTTCTCATGTACAGACATTCAGGGACTGGTGGCGCACGCATTTGACGTGAAAGAAATTGGCTTGCAAACCATCAGTAGGGACATTGTGTTGGTCAATAATGAGTAAGCTATAGTTGGCCTGCACATATTAATTTGTTATGCATGAAAACATGTTTAGTTGCCTTACGAAAATTATGTGTACGTAGGAGGATTCCAATAATACTCACTCTCTGGAATACTTATGTTGCAAATGAAGGTTACCAGTTGGCAAGCACCGTTAGTGCAGGGAATGTTGTTCTTGCTATGCGTGTTAAAGTTACAACATTGCATGGTAAAATTAACATCCATATTTAAGCATTTCCCTTTTAAACATTTGTAAACAATTTGTTGTACATTATAAATAGGACTTTCATTGTCCACTAGAGCTGGAAGTTCTATTCTCATCAATCCACCGATACCCGAAGCTGCTATCCTCAGACAATGGTGAGCAATTTGAAGATTCCTTAGTAAATAATACAATGTACATACATAAAATATTAATAAGTGTAAGAAATGAACACAGGTACCTGCAGGAGCAGGCTGTTGTTGCAGACCTCGTGGCAACTGAAGCTTACAAAAATACTTCGGTTTTACTGCCGCCGCCACACCCTAAAGACATCAAGATCGTGCAGACACTCGTTAGTCCTAACAATGAGGTATTCCAAATAAACGAAACAAAAAACAAAAAACATAAAAAGGCCAGAACATTACTAATTTGTTTAATTAATTGTCGCCC